CAGGTAATTGACGAGAGGGGTCCCTGGAGGACACCTGGGGGCGCTAGGAGTGGACGATTTTGGAGGGAGCGGGTTGCCGCTCCCCTTTGAGCCGAACCGCGGATCCAAAAGTTGGGATGCCCCTAACAGGCGCCAGAGTGCGTGAGTGAGGCAGCTCCCGCGTCGCCCTCCTAGGGCTTCGTCGTGCGGCCGAGGGGACCGCACCTACAGAGCATCGCCGCTCAGGTGCCACCTGTCATGCCGGTCCCTAGCAGGCATTCACGTTCAATTTTCCCTCCCTTGCCTCTGTCTGGGGCCCAGCCCGCTTTCCCCGCCCCCCCCCACCGCCACGCTGAGGCTAGCCTCGCGCCCTGGCACTGGGGCTAGGCTGGGGCTGCTCACCCAGCTGGGCTGAGTTAATGCCATGTTGTGTGCTGGGCCCACCCTGCTCTCGGGAGGCATTAAGATCCTACCTCCCAGCAAAATCACTGGCTCTGCTGGAGAAGCCAAGAAACTAGGGCCTGGGAAGAGACAGAGGCAGGGCCGCCCAGGTGTGGGGAGAGGGACGAGGCAGCCCTGGCTGGCTGCCCTCCCGGTGACAGAGATGGTGACTCTAGCCTGCCTGGCCTGCACTCCCAGCCCAGCAAGCCTGTCTAGGGCTGGGGGCTGGGGCAGGCAGCAGTGTCTCCAACACAGACGGTCAGTTTGTCCTCTGAGTCCCATGCCCCACTTCACATCAGGGCTTATTGAGGCTGGGGTGGATGACACTTGCCCAAAGTCACCCAGTGGGGGGCAGAGTCAGGGCCTCCCACCTTCTGCTGAGCTAACCTTTGGTGTTCTCAATCCCTGTCCTCCTCCACGGTTGATGACCATGTTCCTGTCCCTATGAGGCCAGAACGTGTCACCCTAGAAATGGCAGCCTTTGCTGAATTCAGCTAGAATTTAAGGGATCCCAGGCAGAGTCCCTCTGGCCACATATGGTAGTCTGCTTGGTGGCCTGCTGTGGATCAGCACTTGCTTGAACTGGTTTGAACCACTTTGGTGCCTATCGTGGTGGTTTCCATTCTGTGCCAACAGGAAGGTGCTTGGGACATGTGTCCAAGGAGTTCACACTTTGGTGGTAATGTTTCAGGGATCCCCCTGGGAGAGCCCCATGAGGGCAGGAGAGGGATGGCAAGTATGCCCAGCTTCTTGAAGGACACCCCAGCCTGGGAGAAGACGGCCCTTGAGAATGGCATCATGGGACAGGAACCTGGCACTCCACCAAGGGACAGCCTGCGTCATGGGTCATTGTGCTTGGGAGAGCCTGTTCCCTTCTGGAGGGGAGTCCTGAGCACCCCAGACTCCTGGCTTCCCCCTGGTTTCCCCCAGGGCCCCAAGGACCCGCTCCCACTGGTGGAGGGCGAGGGCCCCCAGAATGGGGAGAGGAAGGCCAGCTGGCTGGGCAGCAAGGATGGACTGCTCTGGAAGGAGGCGATGCTGGCCCACCCGCTGGCCTTCTACGGGCCAGTGTGCCCACCTCGCTATGGCCCCCTCGTTCCTGAGCACAGTGGTGGTGGGCAGCCCAAGAGTGACCCTGTGGCCTTCAGGCCCTTACACTGTCCTTTTCTGCTGGAGACCAAGATCCTGGAGCGAGCTCCCTTCTGGGTGCCCACCTGCTTACCACCCTACCTAGTGTCCAGCCTGCCCCCAGAGCGTCCGTGTGACTGGCCACTGGCCCCGCATCCTTGGATGTACCCTGGGAGCCAGCCCAAAGCGCCCTCTGCCTTTGGCCTAGGCAGCAAGGTGAGTGCCAGAGCAGAGAGGGCAGTGGGGTCAGCCACGCAGGGTAGCTCAGCGGTCCCCAAGGAGTCTTGCCAGGGCAGCGCCAGTCTGCCCCTCCATGCTGATGAAAGGTAAGGCAGAGCTTACACAGAGGAGCCTGGCAGCTCAGAGCCCAAGCAGTTGGCCCTCAGAGCAACTCCTTCCCACTGTCCCTGCTCTGCCCTCAGCCCTTGCAGCCATCCACCCAGACCAAGGCCTCAGAAAGTCTGCCCTTGGCATGTGTGGCCTTGTCCTGGGGCAGAGGACAGGAAGGCAAACAAGACCTCTCTGTCTGGAAGTGGGATGTGCAGGTGACCTCATGCCCTGTGTCTTGGGCTCCTCCCCTATAGGCAAATTGCCCGGTTTGAAATTTTAAAATACTTAAAAACCAGCATGGTTTAGGGCGTGGTGGCACATGCTTATAATCTCAGCACTCTGGGAGGCTGAGGAAGGAAGATCTCAAATTTAAGGCCATTGAGCAAGATCCTATCTCAAAATTTAAAAAAAAAAAAAAACAGCATAACAAAACCAGTATGGATTATGGCACTAAATAATCCGAATACATCCCAAATGTCCTTTGGTTGTGCCTGGCATTAACCCTGTAGCTGCAGTTTGTGAAGTCCACTTAATCCTGGGGGGCAATGTAGGGAAACTTGGAGTAGTGGGGAGCCTCTTGGGGTACCCAGGGTGGTACCATTTATCATACAGTCTGTGAGTCCAGGTTTCACAGCAGCAGTATTTTATTGATGATGACTGTTGATGTCAGTTCTGCCTGTGCCATTTTTAAGCGCTGGGAACCAAAGCCAGCACTAGCTTAACTTTTTCTCCTCTTGTAGGGCTTCTACCACAAAGATCCGAGTACTCTCAGGCTGGCAAAGGAGCCCCCTCTAGCAGCGTTGGAACATGGGTTTCTGGGCTCAGCCCCTAGTGGGCTTCTGCAGCGAGCCCAAGAGGCGGAAGGCTCTTCTCTCCACCAGAGGGAGGGAAACCCAGGAGCTGGCAGGCCCAAGGATCTCTGCTCACTTTTCCTGGGACATCCAGATGCTGCTCCCCGGACCCCCTGGCCCACTTGTCCTCCAGGCCTAGTCCATACTCTTGGCAATGTCTGGACTGTGGCAGGCAGTGGCGGCCTTGGGCACCAGCTGGGGCCACCAGTCACACCACGGTGCCCCTCTCCTGGGCCTGCTACCACCAAGGGGGGCTGTTGCTCATCCCACCCACCCACTAGAGAGGAAGATGTTGGTCCTTGTGGGATGTGCCAGGAGGGCCCAGAGGGGGTTACCAGTGGGACAGCTGAGTCCAGCGAGGAAGAGAACAAGGCTGTGGGTCCCAGGGCCTGTCCCCCAAGCCACCACACCAAACTGAAGAAGACGTGGCTCACAAGGCACTCAGAGCAGTTTGGGTGCCCCAGTGGCTGGCCTGGGGATGAAGAGAGCCCAGCAGCCCAGCTCAGGACCCTCAAGAGGGCAGGAAGCCCCGAGGTTCAGGGAGCCATGGGCAGCCCCATCACCAAGCGCCCACCTGACCCTTTCCCAGGCACCACGGGGCAAGGGCCCAGGGGCTGGCAAGAGGTGCTGGACACATCAATAGGGAGCAAGGCGGAGGCAGAACAGCACAAGGTGCAGAGAGGTAAGGGGGGCACAGGGCTGTGGGGGGAAAGGGGCCTGGGACTTCAGGGGGAGGAGCCCTTCATGAGTGGGTCACACCCAGATGTCAGGTTTCCTACCCAGCTCCTGATGGCTTGGGGGCACCTCAGCGTGTACAGCCAGTGTTCCGGCGAGTGGCTTCCATCTCCCTCTCCCCTGCCAAGCCCTGCTGCTTTGGTGGCAGTGCAATGATTGTAGTTCAGAGCCTGGGCCCTTGAATCGGGATATTCACTTCTGAATTTGCTGATCAGTAGCTGTGTGACCTTGGATGAGTCACTGCACCTCTCCAAGCCTCAGTTTGTTCATCTACAAAATGGACGTAAAGATGGTGCCTGCATTGTGAAGACTGCTCCAAAGACTGACGACTGTAACAAGTTCCATCAAGGGCACTGAAGAACCCGTGGCACTTAGTAAACATTCAATAAATATTCACTGCTATGAGTTTTTTGTGCCACAAATCTGGCTGGGACATTTTTGTCTCCAGAAAGACCTCTTGTCCTACTTCTTTTGGTCAACTGGATCACAAAGGTCGTTTGGACTGTTAAGACCTGGGCCACAAGCTGGAATCCTCTGCCACACTGTCCTTCACCGAGGGTCGCGGCACTGCCAGCCCCGGCTTTGGCTCTTTGGGATTACCTCCTTTCTTGGCATTCTGCGCTGCTGAGCCTGGATCAGCACCATCCCCATGGCGTCTCCCAGTGCCCCTGCAGCTGGCATGGGTCTGTCTGCACGGCCCTGGCCATGGTCTGGACTGGGAAGTTGTTGGCCCCCTCGCCTTCTTGGGTTACTGCACCTGTGGCCTGTGTTGAAACTCTGGCCTTCTCACTTTCCGGCGCCCTCTATCCACCTGTCCACGTCCACTCTGGATGGTCTTCTCACTTTGTCACGCAGCCAGTGGTGTTACTGAGTTATCCAAAGTGCTACCCCTGTACTTGTGTGAGGACCATCACCCCGGCTGCCCAAAGCCTTGGGCTTAACATCCCAGACACCCCCTTCCCTGGGCATCCGTCCATACCAGGGCAGTCCTGGGTCACGGCTTAGCATGTGTGCAAACCTTCTAGCTACCTGGGGCCCTTCACTGGTTCCCGTGATGCCTCAGGGGCTGGGCGAGGGGCTGGCCTGGTTGTGTGTGGACTGGGTGGATACTAAGGCTGGGGTTGGCAGAAGCCTTGAAACCCAGACTCCTGACCAGCTGCGTTGTCCCCTCAGGACCCCGAGGTGGCAGGGCCAGCCTCCAGGACCCCGGGCCTCAGGACGCACCTGGCCCGGCTCTCTCAGCAGGAGTCACTCAATGCCAAAGCTGTGCCCAGGCAGCTGGAGAGGTGGGAGCACTGTCCTGCCACTCTCAGCAAACATGGAGGTGAGCATGGTTTCTGCTGCCCAGGATCCTTACCCCTCCCCGGGCAGGGCCTTCCTCATGCTCCTGTGCCCATCTGCAGGCCGCCTCTGGGCACAGAGCCGCAGCAGGAGGAAGATTCTGAGGAGGGAGGAGGGTCTGGCTCCGACCAGCTCAGCATGGGCCTCGCCAAGCACCTGCTGAATGGTTTGGGGGACCGGCTATGCCGCCTGCTGCGCAGGGAGCGGGAGGCCCTGGCCTGGGCCCAGCGTGAAGGTGAGCTGGCCTTCCTCCCTTCCACGTGTGCCTGCGCAAGGCCCAGCTGGCCCCTCCGCCTCGTCAGCCTGCGCGTTCCCAGGCCTGCCATGACCTCAGAGGAGCTGCTGCCCTGCCCTGTCCTTATTCCTGACTTGGGCTCTTACTCAACGCAGAGGTTTCTGGCCTGGGTGGGGCAGGGGCAGGATGCTGGGACGTGTAAAACCTGGTCCAAGCCAGTGCTCTGTCTGAGAGCTTCAGGGCTTCTGCACAAAACAGGCCTGAGACAAGTGTCTACAAGAGCCCTGGGAGGCAGTGGGTGGGCTCTAGGGGCCCTGAGGGCCGGGGAAGGCTTCTGGGGTGGGTCATGGGCTCAGGAGGCCCCTCGCAGCTCTCGCAGCACCAGTGGGAGTCACAGACAGGGCCGTTGGCCTGCCTGCCTTCACTCCTTGGGTGATTGCTGGTGGACCCTCTTCCCCAGCAGGGCTAGGCCCCTAGCTTTCTTCCGGGGGCTCCTGTGGGCTCTGGCTACCCCCATCCTGGATTCCCAGCACAGATACCACCATCCTTTGCTTCCGGATTACCCGAGCTTGCCTGTCCCCTGGGGCCTTGGCACTGGCTAAACCCTTGGTCTGGAATGCCCTGCTCCTCCCTTCCTACCTGGCACATGAAAACTTATCCATCCACTGGTGAAGCTGCTGCAGCTTTCCAACACCCTTGTGGCTAGTCCATGGGTCTGGGAGGGCAGGGACTGAGTCCTGAGCCACGCGGGGTCGCCTGCGCCCGCCTGGGACACGATCAGGTGTTTGTTGGATGTATGCTCAGCAGCAGTTCCCACCTACCAGCAACAGTTGGTTTTTAACAGAATTCAGTCCTTTGCATGAGGATGGGGTGGCCCCTGGAGGTTTCCTCCTCTAATATAGAGTCCCCTAGAGGAGAGGCCACCTGAGCAAGGCTTGGGAGGGAGGAAGATAGACGGCAGATGCTCCAGAAGTGGTGTGGAGTAGTAATGCAGGCTCAGTGAGGAAATCCCTGGGCCAGGGCAGGCCAGGCAGGATGGGGTCCTAGGGGGACTTGCCAGAGAGATGGCTTCTGCCAGGCGGTCGTAGACGTGGCTGTTGAGTGCCGAGAGGGAATGACCAAGGTTTGTCCATCCCCCTTTCCTGGTGGCACTCAGTGGAAACTTCTTATTTTTTACCTCTCTGCCAAGAGGCTGCCCAATATGAGCTCTTCAAAGGGCCATCGCCTTCAGCCCTCTGACCCTGTTCTTTCTGTGCTCAGCAGGCCAGGGCCCAGCCGTGACAGAGGACAGCCTGGGCACCCCACGCTGCTGTAGCCGCTGCCACCATGGGCTCTTCAACACCCACTGGAGATGCCCCCGCTGCAGCCACCGGCTCTGTGTGGCCTGTGGGCGTGTGGCAGGTGCTGGAAGGGCCAGGGAGAAGGCAGGTAGGAACTGGGCCTCGGCAGGACTGCTCGCCCCAGGAGGTGCTGCGGTGTTGGGGCTGCCTCTCCCCAGCCCAGCCCCAGCCTTAGCTGCCACTGCCGCCTGCCCTTTAGAGCAGACTTTCCCTCTCCCCAGATCAGAGGGCCACGCCTGTGTCTTACTCACTCTTTTTTGGGGGGGTGGTAACCAGGGATCCAACTCAGGTCCTCGCGCTTGAGAGGCAGGCGGTGGCACCACTGAGCTAAATCCCCAGCCCTCCTCACACACTCGTAACAGAAGTTGTGAGCCTACTTTATGCGCCCCCTTTGCTCGGCTTGCACCTTTTAAAAAAACCCATTGTAACAGGGTGAGGTGCGTATTCCTTCGCTTTTCCAGATAAGAAAAATTCAGAGAGGTTAAGTGACTTGTGCAAGGTCACAGGGCTGGTAGATGTTGCAGCCTCGATTCAGACACTCATCTTCGATTCTGTCTTGTTCTTTTCATAGTCTTCAGCTTTCTCCCCCTTGGCTGCTCTTGACCACCTGTGGTCTTAAAGTGTCTCAGTGACCCAATGAACATGGCCAAAAAAGAATTCCAGAATCAGATATGTTCTGGAACGCTCTTTGCCATATGTCTGTCACCTTGGGATCTTACAAAACATCCAAGTGTATGAAACCTCTGAGTTCCACAAGCCAGGAGTCCTATGTCCCTGTGTACCCCATTTCTCAGGAAGCAGGAGTCTGATGAACATTTATTGTGCTGGAGACTGAACCCAAGGCTTTCATACTGAGCTATATCCCCAGCCCTTCAAATTTTTTTTTTTTAATTTTAAGACAGAACCTTGCTAAGTTGTTAAATTGCCCAGGCTGGTCTGAAACTTACATCTTCCTGCCTCAGCCTCCCAGAGCACTGAGATTATAGACATGTGCCACCACTCCCAGCTTGATGGCTTGTTGAGCCTTTGTTTTAAATACCACAGCCTGGGCCTTCCTCCTTGACCTTCACCTGCGGTTACTGTGCTTTTTTGATCTGCAGCTTCTTCCTCCCATCCTGCAGGTTCTCAGGAGCAGTCCCTGGAGGAATGTGCCCAGGAGGCTGGGCACGCTGCCTGTTCCCTGGTGCTGACCCAGTTTGTCTCCAGCCAGGGTGAGCCAGTGGGAGGGGTGGGGTGTGCCGTGGGTGGGTCCTGAGGGAGAGCAGCTTCCTGTCTGGTTGTGCCTGACCCTGGTACTACGCCCTCCCCCTTGGTGGGGTCAAGTGTCTGGTCTGCTTGCATCACCAAACTCTGTCTCTGTCTCCACCCCAGCTTTGGCAGAACTGAGCACCGCAATGCACCAGGTCTGGGCCAAGTTTGACATTCGAGGGCACTGCCTCTGCCAAGCTGATGTCCGGGTGTGGGCCCCTGGGGCTGGGGGACAGCAGGTGAGTACTAGGGCATGGCCCGGTGGTGAGGAGTAGTTAGTGGGGTCCAGGATGGAACAGGTGCCTGCAAATGGCTGGCCTTTGCAAGGGGGTTGGATGAAGAAGGACTGAGAACCCAGGGAATCAGGCCATATCCTCCCCTCTCCTGGGAATTAGGACCCTTCTAGCCAGCACAAGCACTTGGCTTCTCCCCCACCCCCCTGGAGTCCCATCTTCTAGCTCAGCACTTGCCATGTTCTCCTAGAACTACTGGTGGGCACAGCCATGGTCCAGCCCTGGGCTCCTTTGGTGTCGTGTCCACCCACCTGCTCGGCACCCCCAGTACCTAAGACATAGTAGGAGCTCAGCGTACATCATGCAAAGTTCTTATGAAGTTCGTGTTTTTATGATGAAAGTTACCCATTTAAGAAATACTTCGTTAACCAGCCATCATGGTGCACACCTGTAATCCCAGTACTCAGGAAGCTGAGGCAGGAAGAATGCCTCAAGTCTGAGGCCAGCCTGAGATACAGAATGAGTTTGAGGCCAGCCTGAACAACAGAGTGAAGCCCTGTCTCCAAAAAAAACGGGAGCTGCCTGGGATTTAGCTCAGTGGTTCTGCTGCCTGCCTTACAAGCACAAGGTCCCAAGTTCGATCCCCGAAGGAAAGAAAAAGTTCATTAAATGCACTCTGTGGAGCAGGTACACACTGTGGCCATACACCCATTGTGAAAAATTTGGAAAATACAGACAAGTCCAAGGAACAAAAAAACAAACAAAAAAACAATAAGGGCTTCTCACGCCATCATCAACATTTTGACATCCTTTTTTGGTAGTCATTTGTGTGTTTATTCACATCTCTTTCACTATACATTGTACCATTTGGAGAAATCCATGTGCACCTTTATTCCTCCTAACATTATCTGCTATAACACTTTGCCCCGGTACACACCAATAGGAGGCTTACGCGGGGCGTGGTGGCTCACACCTGTAATCTCAGCACTCAGGAGGCTGAGGCAGGAGGATCGCTGTGAGTTCGAGATCAGCCTGGGCTACACAATGAGTTCCAGAGCAGTCTGAACTACATAGTGAGACCCTGTCTCAACCCCCGCCCCGCAAAAGTTAGAGCAGTCTGAACTACATAGTGAGACCCTGTCTCAACCCCCGCCCCGCAAAAAAAACACAATTAGGAGGCTTACAAGTGTCCCGTGTTAATTCTTTGTGGGGGGTGGGTACCGGGGATTGAACTCTGGACCTTGCGCTTGCAGGGCAGGTAGTGGAACCACTGAGTTAAATCACTGGCCCCCATGTTAATTCTTCTAGGCTGAGTTGTGTCTATCATTTTTTTAAATCTCTGGTTGGCCTGGGGGTGGTGGATGGGTTTAACAGAAGGAGCCGACAGAGAAAACTCCCCCAGCTCCGCAAGCTTCCTGCAATGGGGATTCCAACAGGACCAAGGACATCAAAGAGGGTAAGTGGCTCCCTGCGCCCCTTGGGCAGTGCCAGCTGGAGGCTGGGCTGGTTTGAAGTGGGAGGATGGCGGTAGGAGAAGTAGGGGGGTGACTTGGATTACTTTGGCAAACATCCTGTCCCAGTGGCCAACTATCCCTGCCCGGGGGACAGCCTGCCTCGCACCGCTCCAGTCCTTCCGCTTTAGAGGCTTGGAGCTACCTTCTGCAGAGATGGTGCTAGGAAGAGAGTGCCCCAGAGCTCAGCCAATGGGGGGATGCTGGCAAAAACAGAGTAGACTCAGCCAGGAGATGAGGGGCGCCATCTGTGGAGCGAAAAATGAGGACAACACAGGAAGGCCCTGGCCATGTTCCTCCCTGACTCCAGAGATCCCGGACTCCGCTGAGGCCCCAGCAGAGGACAGAGCCACCCGAGGGCCCCTGCCTTGTCCCTCTCTCTGCGAACTGCTGGCCTCTACTGCTGTCAAACTCTGTCTGGGGCATGAGCGCATCCACATGGCCTTTGCCCCCGTCACTCCGGCCCTGCCTAGTGTGAGCAAGGGCTTGGAGGGAAGGCTGGGAGCCTGGGGTCCCGAGGCTGGGCAGCTCCCCCGAGTGGCCTGACGGGTCCTGAGCCTCCTGTCCCTCCCTCCCTCAGGACGATCGCATCACCAACATCCTGGACAGCATCATCGCGCAGGTGGTAGAGAGGAAGATCCAGGAGAAGGCCCTGGGGCCAGGCTTGCGAGGTAGGCCGGGCCTTCGCAAGGGCCTGGGCCTGTCCCTGTCTCCAGTGCGGCCCCAGCTGCCTCCTCCGGGAGCCTTGCTGTGGCTGCAGGAGCCTAGGCCTCGGCGCTGCTTACACCTGTTCCAGGAGCACTGGAGGCAGGGCCAGGTGAGCTGGCCTCTCTACTCCCCACAAGACCTGTGCTGGAGGGTCTGGAGCCCCTCCAGCAGCCCCCATCGGGCCATGGCAGGGCCTGCCATTGTCCCGTGTCCCCCTTCTCTCCCTACCACAGCCTGTACTGGTGTCAGGGATCCAGAGGACGCTGCAAAGCGGCCTGTGGGGGACGGAAGCTCTCGGGGTGCTTGGAGGCCAGGTGCAGGCGCTGACTGCCCTCGGGCCCCCGCAGCCCACAGACCTGGACAGTGCGACTTTCTGGGAGGGATTCTCCAAGCCCGAGAGTAAGTATCCCTGGTGTGGACTACAGGGAGCTGGGAGCCTAAGTCCAAGGGCCTGGGTGACAAGGGGACCCCAGAGTAATCCAGTGGCACTGGAAGCAGGACCAGAGCAGATACTGCTGCTGGCCCTGGAGCTCCTCCAGGGGCCAAGAGTATTCTGTCTCTTCCCCCAGGTTGCCCAAAGTCAGACGAGGGCTCTGTCCTCCTGCTGCACCGAGCTCTAGGGGACGAGGACGCCAGCAGGTGTGTGGGATACTGAGAACCAGCCCTGCTCCCCAGCCCCAGCGCCCCCCATGTCCTTGCCTTCCCTCTGTCTTCTTCACCTCTGCCCCTGCTGAGTGACCCTTGGCACTCCCAGCTTGCCCTCTGGGAGTTAAGCCAGCAGTGGGGGACTCTGTGCCTGGGCTGGATCCACTGGGTGTGACCCCTGTCACCTACAGGGTGGAGAACCTGGCCTCCAGCCTGCCACTCCCGGAGTACTGTGCCCACCACGGGAAACTCAACCTGGCTTCCTACCTCCCGCTGGGCCTCACCCTGCATCCGCTGAAGCCGCAGCTCTGGGCGGCCTACGGTGAGTGCGGGCCATTCCTGCCTACTCCCTACCCTCCTTGTCCCTGTTATCTCGAGGCACACAGGCGTCAGTGCCAAGGTCCTAGAGATCCGAGTGCTTCTCCTATTCCATTTTCACCTCCACACAGGCGTGAGCCCACACCGTGGACACCTGGGGACCAAGAACCTGTGTGTGGAGGTGGCTGACCTGGTCAGTGTACTGGTGCATGCAGAGGCATCGCTGCCTGCCTGGCACCGGGCACAGAAAGGTGGGAACAGGAGAGGAATCACTGCTGAAGCGGGAGTTTGTCTCCTGTGCCCTGGGTCCCCCTGAGCTATGTCTCTCCCACAGACTTCCTTTCCGGCATGGATGGGGAGGGACTCTGGTCTCCAGGCAGCCAGGTCAGCACCGTGTGGCACGTGTTCCGGGCACAGGATGCCCAGCGCATCCGCCGCTTTCTCCAGATGGTGAGGAAGGAGCCTGGAGCCTTCTCAGTGTGTGGTCCCTGCTGCCCATTCCCCACCCTAGCGCCCACTCACACAGACAGCAGAAGGGACCCCAAGTCTGTGGAGGGACTCAGGAGCAGGAGGGCATAGCAGGAGGGTTGGGGCTTCGGGATGAGATGAGCAACAGTGGGTGCTGGCTGGGCATTGTTCTAAGGGCCTTGGGTATGTTCTGTCAGCCAGTGGTCCCTTGCTGACCCCCAGCAGGGACGGCCAGTTTCTCATTTGCAGGCAAGAAAACCAGAGTTTGGGCTGGGGATTTAGCTCAGTGGTTCTGCCACTTGCCCTGCAAGCACAAGGTCTCAAGTTCGATCCCTGGTACAAAAAAAAAAAAACAAAAAGAAAAGAAA